TTTTTTTCAAATACTCCTACCGAATGCCCCGTATTCCAATTGCTTTCTCTTTCAATCTTCTCTATTTTTTCATCCTTCAATTAGATAACACCCTAACTCATACATATATACATTTGAAATAATTTGTTTATACAAATCTGGTTTTGCACGCATAGTAGGGTATGGAAAGCTGGTTAGCAGACATTGAAACTTGAAATTCTTAACTTGAAGACACATGGATATCTTGGAGTTTCCATGTCCAAGCTTGAAGATGCATGAAACCATAGTCTTTTAAACAATAATGAAGACGTGTGGTAATCTTGGAGACTTCACCAAGCGACCTTGAACCATGCAGAAATGTTGAAGTCTTCTCCGAGTCGCATAAAATACTATGCATCTTCTACATTTACTGTAGAAAACACCCTATTGTGAGAAATAAACAATGAGGTGTATTATTTGAGGATTTTTTTAAAACCATTATTTGGGCCATTTTGTCAAAAAAAGGTGTGTTTCATTTTTCTTTATTACATTTAATAGAAAGTCTAAGCATGATAGAGTTTTTGTTTTTATTTTCGATAATTTGATATAATCATCCTTATAATTAAATTAAATATTCTATAATTATATTTGTGATTTCAAGTGCAATTTATATTTATTATTTAAATTTATATTTTTTAAGTTATAAAAAAGATTTGGACTGATACAAAAAATTGTCTAAATTATATCTTTTTTCCATTTAGGTGCCTAAACTTTTTTCTGTCAATATAAGTGTCTAATGTTATGAATGTTATCATTTTAAGTGTTGACTGTAACATACATTAAAAAATTTCGTCATTTCCCTGGTCGCCACCATCGACGAGCAATCACCCCAGCCATTGTCACCCACTAGTAACTGACTGTTACTCTTAAATTTCTAAACTTAAATCCCTAATATCCTAAATATTCAAATCCCTAAAATTCCTTAATTTCCTTTGATCGGTTGTTTGGAACAATAATAGAAGTGATAGTTTGTTATAACCTAAACACCGGGTCAGTGTCTTTAGTGAAAGGATTTTAAAATTTAATGGGTTAATTTGAATAAATTGAAAATTACAAGAATTGATTTAGGAAATTGTGTTTAAGACTTATTATTAAGAATGGAAGAATGGAGGGGCATTATGGACTTTTAGGAGGAAATGAATTTAGTATTCATTTTTTTGGGGATATTTATTAAGGGTTGAATAGGAGAAAAAGGGAAAAGCTAAAAAACTTCGGTTATCTACTCTTCTTCTTCTTCTCGTCCCCGTACCTCCATAACAAATGTGAGATTTATTCAAGTTGGGTTTTCCTTTCATTTTTGGGTTGGTTTTGAAGCCTTAAGTGATATAGAAGCTTAAGGAATGCTTAAGAGTGAATAAAACTAAGAGATTAGTGATTTCATAAAATGGGTTTTAAGTGATTTGATGAAATATGGTCAGTTATTGGAGTTTAAAAGCATTTTTGACTTGTCAAAGATGTAAATAAGAGATTTGGAGCCTTAGAAGTGATTGAAAACATGTTTGAAAATTTGGGGTGATTCTTAGTTTTGAGTGTTCTTTTGAGATTTTGGATGTTTTAAGGAGATTTATGATTGTAAGTTAGTTTGGATAAGTGATAATGAGTTTAATGGTATGGTTGGAGATAGGAGTAAGAGAGTTAGATGAAATTTGGGTAAAAATCAAAGTGAAATAAGTAAAATATGGGTAAGAGTATCGGTACTAGAAGAATAATATCAATACTATAAGGTTAAATTTGAGGATTCGGATGAAAATCATCGATACCGATTTAAAGAAGTATCGATACTGAGGTGTAGGTATCAATACCAAGAGGAAGGTATCGATACCGTAATGAAAAACGAAATTCCAGAATGTTTGAATGGTATCGGTACCGAAGTGGGTATCGGTACCATAGAAGAGAAGTATCGATACTGTAGGAGGGGTACCGATACTATTCAGTCTAAAATTTTAAGTTATGATGAATTTTAATAGAATTAAAAATTAATAAATACTTTTGAGTATTATTACTTTGGATAAATGTTAGTAAGTATACTAACATCATTTTTGTATGTGTGCTTATGGATGCTTGTGTAGATCGTAATCAAACTCCTGAGTCAAGCAAACAGAAAGGCAAGGATAAAGTAGCATAATAGTTGGACATATTTAAAGCTTAATCGTAATCAACCTCGAATGTTTGATAAAAGAATGTTTTACCATATCTTAAAATATTTTCATAAAGTTTATGGAAAGGATTTACGAATAAATTTTAGAGTATGAACTGCTCTAAAATAGATGTATGTACTTCTATATTATTTTAACAGCTATCGATGTTCAAATAAATGTTTAACCTGTGAATTTGACTTAAAGGCCCATTGTATGTGCATTGAGATTCATATGTGTATTGAGATTCATATGTGTATTGAGATTCATAGGTGCATTTCGACATACTTTGTGTATGATGGTTATAGATCGATTTTGTTTAATGCATAAGTTGCATTTTTCGTATGATGCTTATCGATCGATTTTGTTTAATGCATATGTTACATTTTTATATCAGTACTATATGTACTTTCGACACTATGTGTGCACCCATGATATTCATAATGAGTTTATGAATGACCATTTCGTCACTATGCGTGCATCCATGGAATTCATAATGAGTTTGTGAATTACCATTTCGGCACTTAGGTGCAGCTCATGTACCTTGCATTCTCATTCAATATACATTGGGCAAATAGAAGGATAATTGGGAAAAATAATGATTGATAGGTATGCTGGGCATACTAAATATAGTTTCGTTGGTTATGTGAAAGAAATTTGGTTTCCTAAGCCAATTTTAATTATTATTATGAATTGTACGATTTAATTCGTATTTTGATAGTTTATGATATACTTATGTATTGGTTACACTTCATTTATATTATTATGCCTCACTAAGTGAAAACTTAGCGTGTGTTGGTTTCATGCGTTGGTATTAACACGAGCGGAGTAAAGAGTGTAGGTGACATCATAGATCAAAGGTTGTCTCATCAGTAACTGTATGACAATTATGTCTACTTTTGATATTATTAGATGACATGTAATAGACTTATGATAATACTCTAGAAAATATTTGACTTATGATGATTGTAATATTTAATATGTTAGAACTTTAAGATTATTTTATATATTAGAAGTAAATGAACGTTTTATTAGTATTACATTAAAATGTTTTATGTATGGAAATAAAAATTTACTGTTTTTTTCAAAAGCGATAATATTTTGAAAAGTCTTGTGACATCTATGACTTGTGTACAGAAATGTATACTATAAATGAGTGTTACATAGTCAGCCGATTGTTTGGTCACTTGTTCACCTTTGGCAGTTCACGGTGAGCATTTGAGAACGGTGAGCATTTGAGAGAGTTTTTCCAATGCAGTGGGATGCGAGCAAAAGGGCGGGGTGGGGATGTAGGCGGAGAAGGGGGACGTGTGGGTAGGGGGAAAGGGACACGTGTGGGTTGATGAAGGGTTACATTTTAAAAAATGATTTTTAAAAAAATAATAAATTTATTTTTAAAAATAAAAAATAAAATTTTCAAAAAATATATACGCGACACATGTTACTTAACATAATTTTCTAACGTCTATTTCGATAGAGACTCTTAAAATGATAACATTTACAACCTTAAATATTTATATTGACCTAAACAATCGAAGTACCTAAATAGAAAAAATGGCACTGTTTGGATAAATTTTTTATATTAAACATAAAGTTTTTTATTAAAATTTATTATTTATAATCTATTTTTGATTAAAAATTATATTTAATTTTTTTATAATTCTAAAATAAATTATGAATTTTTATTTATCTTTAATCTTAAAATTATGATCAAAAAATATATAAATGTTATCAAGATAAATAGTTTAGTTATAATTAAGAATTCAAATAAAATATTATTCATTAATTTTAATTGTATATTGTTATCTCTTTAACATTGATTAGTCTAATAATGTTATATTCCTCTGTTTAATATAAATACCCTAAATATTGGAAAATATTGAGTCCTTTTATTGCATTGTTTCTAGTTTCGTGATTATGTCATATTCTACCAAAACCATGGCGACTAGTTTGATTCGACGGGCGATGAATGTGACGTCTATAGTGTCTTCATCAACGATGGCTCCGGCAACGAGGCTGGGTTTGGTCAGGGCCGTACGCCAGCGAAGCAGAAGCTCAAAAGGTAGAACCAAAAGCGGCCGCCTCCACCAACATGAAGACCTTCCAAATCTACCGATGGAATCCCGACAACCCTGCTAAACCCCAGCTCCAAGACTACAAAATCGACCTAAAAGAGTGCGGACCTATGGTCCTCGACGCCCTCATCAAGATCAAGAACGAGATCGATCCGTCGCTCACCTTCCGCCGCTCCTGCCGTGAAGGAATCTGCGGCTCTTGTGCAATGAACATCAACGGCTGTAACGGCTTAGCTTGTCTGACGAAGATCGAGTCAGGATCATCGGAGACGACCATAACTCCTTTGCCGCATATGTTTGTGATTAAAGATCTGGTGGTGGATATGACCAATTTCTATAATCAGTATAAGAGTATTGAACCGTGGTTGAAGAGGAAGAATCCGCCGCCGACGGCGGGGAAAGAGATTCCACAAAGTAAAAAGGATAGAGCTAAGCTGGATGGGATGTATGAGTGTATTTTGTGTGCTTGTTGTAGCACCAGCTGTCCCAGTTATTGGTGGAATCCTGAGTCTTATCTGGGTCCTGCTGCTTTGCTCCACGCTAACAGGTTATCAATACAATTATTTAATTTTGGGTTTTATTTGTTAATGTTGCTGATGGTTTTCGTGGATTGGATCTGGAATTTATTTGATTGGTTCATAGGAAAAGAGCTAGCTTTATCTTCAGTGACTAATAGGGAACGCTGAAAGTGAATGCTTTAAGGGTTTGATTTCTTAATTTGATGTTGTTGATGGATTTTTTTTTGGCTTATTTTGGTATCTATTTGGTTGATAACTGAAAAGAAGGAATTCTTATTTTTGTTTTACTTAATGCTAGCTATATATGGATAATGATTCTTACAATTCACATTAATCCTTTCAAAATTGGGGTTCTCTGATTGATTCATTTAAGTTAGTATTTAGGCTTTTATTGATTATGAAATAGTTTAAGTTTTAGGACTCTCTTGGGTCATAGTTTGCTAGGAATATGCCTTGGTTTATGGTCTCACCTGAATAGGGGGGAAATGTTACCTCACCCGAGTGTTGGGTCAATGGGTTTTTTTCCCGAGTGTTGGGTCTCAATGGGTTTTTTTTCAAAAGACTTAGATCTAAACTCATGCACTCGTGCAGACTACGCTGCTCAAACCTAAGTCATCAAGGGATATCAACGAGTTTGAAAAGGGAATCCTAAACTTTTTTGTTTTTATTTTTCTTTCTTTCCATATTAATGTTTTTCTTCTTTGGGGCTTACTTTGTGTTTCGAAGTGATTCTTGATTATGCAAATTGTTACCTATGTTTTAAGTTTTTGCCAGTTACACTATTTATTTGTGATTAAGGGTTGTATTTGATGTTCACTTTATTATCTGGTACTGTTTTAAAATTTTTCTAATCACTCTTGAACTGTACTAGTCAAAATGTTCAATGAATTTTGATCGTGAAATGGAAAAAGCCATTGCTTAAACATCTAGCAGCTGAATTACAGTATTATAATGGTTCAGCTTATTGTTGAGCTATCAATTCAACTGCTGCCCATATATGATTGCCAACTAATTCTTTGCCATTAAACTTATAATGGACCTGTCAATCATAGCTTCTTGCCTATTTATCTCTGTTTTTCTCTTGCTGAATTTGTTACTTCCTTACTATTAGTTTCCCTCTTTAGCTGGTAGAGACTGCAAACTGATTACCTCTCGAGTGTTTAAAGTTTGTTAACCATGCTCTTATATATGCAGATGGATAAGCGACAGCCGTGATGAATACACAAAGGAGAGATTGGATGCCATAAATGATGTCTGGTTTGTTTTTGTGAGATTTCCATGAACATTTTGCTTAGAGTCCATGATATGCCAATAATTGTAGTCTCCCAAACAATGTACTTAAATTTAATGTTCAAGTGCTGATTTTGGGTTCGATTGATCCTTTTTTGTTGCATTCAATCTATAAGCATCAGTTGGTAGGTTTTACTCTCATCATATTCAACTAAATCATGCCGTTTTGCTAGAGATTTTGGAGTTTAGAATATCTATCTACCTTTCAACCAACTATGGTACAAGGCATATCAAACTATGGAAAATAAATTACATCTCAATAACTACTTGCACAACATTGCATTCATCATTGTGGATATTTTTTTTTACATGTTCCAAAAAGAAAGAGAAAATAAACCATAAACTTGACATTTTTTGTATTGTTATGGTCACAGTTTTGTGCTGAATCATTATTACTAACAGAAGTATATGATAGTGAAGTTTCCATTTTTCAAATTCTGATGTAACAAGTTAGGTCCATCATCTCTAAGACTTGAAGGGCATAAATATATGCCAGAGAAAACTTCACCACCAAAGATGGTCTACAATGGTTAAGTTGTTATGATAACATGGATTTCTGTCCTCATCTTTTCTAATTTCGTTCAAGCCAGCAATCGGCTCTCAGTTTCCATGGAAGCTCAAGGCTTTGAGCCACCAAAGTATGTTACCATTACAGGTGATGTAATTACACTGGCTCATCCCATTTTTTAGATCCCCTTCTTAATTTTCCATGAAACTTCTTTCTAACAAACATCAATGCATAAGAGAACGAATCTTGAAACGATTTAAGTTTATCCATAACAAGGCTCTAATATTTCAGTTTTCTTGTTCAAACAGGCTGCACAGTGACTGTGATACAGCTTGTTGTAGTTGTGACATTGAGAACAGCCACCAATGTGCACCTATTGCTGCAAAGAAGAGACATTAGCTAATGCAATGCATGGCCACAAGAACGGATTAAAGTTTTCAAGGCATTTGGCACATAATATATAATTCAGAGGGGATCTTCCATCATTGGAAGTACCACACTTCATCGATCATCCCACAAGTTCAAAGTTGAAGAAGGGCACTGATCTCGTTTCATATTCAATTATTCATTTATTTCAATAAAATCATTAATTTTACAACACTTTGTATTACATTAGGATATATGAACTTGGAATTGAAAAAATCTTTTGTAGCCTCAAGATCTCATCAATCATTCAAGGAGCTTTTCCTTGAAAGACCAAGGAACACAGTTGCAGATGCGATTTGCACCTTCAGGTCAGCAATGTCAACATCATGCCCACTTCGACTAAACCCCATTTATCCGCCTAAAAATATATAAGAGATGTCTCAGTCTACAAGTTTTGATAATATATACATGCATAAGCATGTGTTAGCATAAGAGATTTACTAAAATGAAAACGAACCTGCAAATCTTCCTCAAGTCTAATCAACTCAATTGCTTCCTCGATCTGCAATTTACCACAAAATATTCCTAAAGAAATAACCAATGAATGTGCAGCAGCTGCAAGGGCATCAATTGCTGCCAATTCACAGTCATCTGTTTTCTTTAGAAGGTTTTCAACAACCATTGTGAGACCTTCCCCTTGCTTCCCACCAAAAAAGCTGAAGTACACAACAGGCTTAAAGTCAAATTCAGAATTTAACCAAGAAAGCAAAGGATCAACTTTCTCAACTTGCCTTGTTGCAATAAAGGCCATGATATTATTGCATTTTGGTTTCCAGAATGTACCAAACAAGCAAAGGAATTCAATTTTCCATCAAGCATTATGCATGACAACTCAATGTAGTCAAGTATGAATAACCAACGCACCATGTACACCAGCAGTCAAAGTGTTATCCTCTGGTGCTCGACAGAATACCAAATCTTGATGGAATTTCTTCATCAGATGTTGGATGATCTTGGCACGTGTGAATGGCACTCTCACCAGTGCCGTGCAAGCAAGTTTCATCAATGGCATTGTAAAGGGTCTGATTCCATCTGTTTGCTAAAAATCATCAACATCTTTTTGGTTATTATCGATGTTATTAAAACCGGACCGAACCGGACGGTTCGACCGGTTGAACCGTGAACCGGTGGCCTGTCCGGTCCGGTTAACTCCCAAGACCGGATTAACACAAAACCGGTAAAGAACCGGAAGAACCGGCTGAAAACCGGGAAAACCGGGGTGACCGGCTGAAAACCGGCAAAACCGGTTTGAACCGTCGGTTCACTTTTTTCCTTTAAAATAAAATTAAACCAAACGGCGTCGTTTGTTCAACGAGCCGAGTCAAATTCGAATATTGCTGAACTCGACTCGAACTCGAAAACTTTAAAAGTAAGTTCAACTCGACTCAAAAACTCACGAACTAAAAATTATCAACTCGAAATATAATATTAAAACTTGAAATCGAAAAGACTTGAACTCAAAAAAAAATTTAGAAGTTCGAATGAAGCCTAAAATTTGAGCTCAATTGAAGCGAAAGAATAGTTCGCTTTATGCTTACCAAAAGGCTTCATGATTTTGAATGTCAAATTACTTCTATTATTTATAAAAGTAAGTTGGGATGCTCTTCTATATTTCTTAGTCATGTGGAATTGTTTTGTTCTCATATTTTTACTCCTTAAACTTTTGAGATACTCTTCTATGTTTCTTAGCTATGTGGGATTATTATTTTTAAAACAATTAAACCAAATGACATCATTTATTATGATTTTTTTAAACCCCAATTTTATTTTTTTGATTATAGTTATATAATTATATTTATTATTTAATATGTTTTACCTTAAATATTATGTTGTAATTGATTTGAATCATTTTGTTTCTCTTGATTTTATGGTTTTTCATTCATACATATTATGATTTGTGATATTTTTATATATTTTAATATTGTAAACTTAAAAAAAGTGTTATATATATATTAATATTGCTTTGAATATTATGTAAAATTAAAAAAATATATTATTTTATATAAAATCCGGTTTCAACCGCGGTTGAACCCAATTAAATCAGTGAATCAGTATCTTCACCGGTTCAATGTTCGATCCGATTTTAATAATTATTATAGAATTCAATTCGACCTAAGATGATGAATGAAGTAAAATACATAGACTAAATCTTTTGGATTCACCCCATCCACTTTCTGAAGTAACATTAATGAAGCTATATAACCAATTCAGACAAAAGTTACCACTTTAACAGATACAAAGACTAAACTAGCAAAAACAAAAACCCCAAAATTTTGAAAACAAGATGAAGAATTAGAGTAAAAGAAAATGATGCACCTGATATTCCCATTCAACAGCAATGGCCTTAGCAAGAGCCAAAGTGGGCAATTTGAGAGGCCGTTTAGAAGGGGTTTTAAGAGTCCGATAATCAAGCATTACCGTTCATCCAATACCATCATCAGAGACTCTCGTAGTAACTTTCTGATAGAATCTCTTCCCAACTATCGATACAGTCATGAACGACATAGGCATCGTCACCGACGTCGTCTTCTCGGCGCTCGCTTTAGAAGTCGGTGGCTTTATGCATATTCTATTATCGTCTTTCTCTTTCTTACTACCGGTGTTGTCGAAAGTGAAGGGAGATGAAGATGGGCCGTCGGAGGGGTTGGTGGTAATAGAAATGAAATTAAGAGAGCGGAGAGATGAGAGGAACTTTGGATGTTTTATGGGTTTTAAGGCTTTGTTTAAAAGAGAAGCGGCCATTGAATTTTACTGAGAAAATGCAGGGGTTTTGTTGAGCTTTAGCTACGGGGTTTCTCCATTGAAGGAAGGGGAAAAGCGAGGGAAAACATCAAATGGGCTTGTGAGTTGAGGCCTCATTCATTCGCTTATGGGTCCTGAGTTGTATATGGTGACGGGCCCTTAGAATTTAAAATGTAATTATAAGTTTGAATATTAAATTAAATAAATTATATTTCAATCACTTATGTTATTAATTTATTATATTTTAATTATTAATTAGTTATTATTTTTATTTAATTATATAATATATTAACAAAAATAATTTTAATTTAACTATAAATTATAGATAAAACATTGATTTAACTCTTGATTTTCTTTCTCAAAATTTATGTTTATCCTTATTTAAAAAATAAATCTAGAAGCTTGAAAAGTATTCATCT